CTGGAGAGCCTTGGGGCGAGTGTTGACGCAGTCTAAAAGAGTCTTGGGGACTTTTCCCCCAGGGCGCTGTGTCTTATAGAGTGCTTGATTGACCGACTAAGACGAGAGCTGAAACGTATTTCGTTGTGTGTGTCTTATTTGTCTGTAAAGCTGAAGTGACTTTCCTGATCCCGTACCTCAAGGGGACGCGATATAGAGGCAAGACGAGATTCCCCCCTGGCAAGTGTGGAGAACCCCGAGAAAAGAATTTCCCCCTGATATTTCTATCGTAAATTATTTCGCCGTTAATAATTTCAAGAACTCTGATGTTGTGTAATTTCTATTGTATATTATTTCGCCGTTAATAATTTCAAGAACTCCGATGTTGTGTAATTTCTATTGTATATTATTTCGCCGTTAATAATTTCAAGAACTCCGATGTTATGTAATTTCTATCGTATATTATTTCGCCGTTAATAATTTCAAGAACTCCGATGTAGTGTAATTTCTATCGTATATTATTTCGCCCGTTAAGACACATACATTGAAAAAACATGTTACTAGTTTTTGAATGTGCTACAGTAGTCTTCCATTGTCTGTCGTCGACCCCCGCCACCACGCACTCCATCATCGCCCCGATGGCGGACTTCTTGTCGGGTTTCAGTCAGTTTCACTTTTGATCGTGATTAATTCGATATAAATGCAGTTCTTTACCGGAAATCGCCAGTCCGTTTTCTTTTAGTTTAAAAATGACCTACAGTAGGGTCGGCATGGTTAGTCAGTCGCCGGTACGTTCGCCTCCCACTCATAGGCGGTTGTACCGGTTGCCGCTGATTAACTAAGCAGACCCTACTTTAGGTAATTTTTTATTATCCAAGAAACGTCCCTAGCAACAAAGAGACAAAACGAACCACACAAATGCTCAGAAATATGATCGTGGTGCGAGTTGGTCTGGTGTGAGTTAGCATTGGTGCGAGTTGGTCTGGTGTGAGTTGGTATGGTGCCAGTTAGTTTTGGTGCGAGTTGGATCGAAATCCGCTGTCGCATCGTCCTTCGCTGCGCGTCAGTCAATACTGCCGCTGTACTGTCTTCGTGCATACTTTGAGGTATCTTCTTACTAACCAAGTAGTATTTTACAGTGCCACTAGCATAGCCATTAACTATTTGGGAGGGAGTTAGATAGTAATGGTACACAACTTGTGTGAAATGCTTCTTCCATTGTACAACTCTGGGCTATAAAGTGACAATTATAACCTGTGCTTGTTAATGTACTTTCACACTTTTGTTTCTGTATAGATTTTGTATTTTTGAAATAGTAAAACAGTCTGATCATTTATGCAATGCAAAAATGCAGTATACCTTGCCACAAGTGTTGACCTTTTGTAGTGTGTAGTAAATTTTTTCATAAATTTGCATATTTAAATTTTGGTAGGTGCATCATGATAGACTTTTATGAATATTCATGATCTAACTTGAAAGAAAAATTGTTTGAACGGTTATGATACAAGTGTTCAGACAGTTAGTGTGTGATTCTGATTGGTTGATTGAGAACACTAGTTGGGTTAAAGTATTGAAAACGTTGGCTAAACTGTGTTCAAACCATGTATTCGTAGTTAAGTACCTACCCTACCCCCCTACTCTTTGAGGGATTTGCTTGGGATGGCTATTATACAAAAGACAATTGTAGGACAAGTTTGGCTTTTACAGAATTCACAACATCAAGGAGTTTTTGGCTGATACTCTGTCCAAGGTGATTCTAAAGCCAAAAGCCTTGAGGGGGGGTTCTAGCTTCCTTCATGTTGAAATTGACCCTTCATTTTTTATTTCATTATTATTATTATTATTATTATTATTATTATTATTATTATTATTATTATTATTATTATTATTATTATTGTTTATTATATTTTTTAGTTTAGTCGGCATTGTAAATGTACCCGCTGACTATTAAAGCAAACCGAGCTTCATGAAAAAACGAAAGCATTATTTATAGTTATTATTGGTGGCGCGGTTTGTTACTATAGGCAACTGAAACAAAATGGCGTCACAACCACGACTGCAACTTCTTGTCGTAGGTTTACTGGGAGACGAGACTTTCCAACAAGCAAAGTGTTGTGCAGAGGTAAGAATGAGTTTGCTCATAGTTTTGTGTTGTATAACATTGTTTATCTCTTTGTTTTTACGTCGCGTTATAAAGAACGAGCTACCTGCCGTCCTCTATTGATTTTCAGCAACAGTCGAATGACAACAAATCACTGCAGTAGAACAAAGCGTAACTGTGGCATGCTAATAACTATTTTTAACACGAACTAATGTACGGAGTTCTATATTAGTAACACCGCAATATCATTGGAATCTCGGGAAAGTTTAAGAATTTCGGCCGAGCGTCTTTCGTCATGTTGATCAATGAGTACATGTATCATGGAAATTGTATTTTTTATAGTCAAGCAACTATGCGCTAGAAGAAAATGTCTAACAAAAATTCAAATTTTCAATCGCACCTATCATTTGAGAGTCTAGGGCTTCTTTATATAAAGGAGATGTTCAAATAAAGATTTGTAAAAATTTGAAGATCTCTCATGCATGATTTGATTTGATTTTTTTATCAACTGACAGGGTCTTTATCAGAAGTATCCAGAAAAGTTTGATACACCCAAGGCAACAGGTCTGCTGGAATTTGACTGGGAGCTTTACATAGATAATAAGAGACATGAGTTGAAAGGGGAAACATGGCAGTTCCAAGATAAGGTCACTTGTTATCTGAATGGTCAGCTGATTGGTGGAGCTGATGAGTTCACAAAATGGGCTTCAGACGAGTGGTCATATGAAGACTTCAGACCACCAGCTTTGTACTTGGCATTAGCAGAAGAAGCATATAAAAAGTATTTAGTGAATACTGGTGTAAGTGCAGTCATGTTTTAACCTCATTTCTCACCCACACAGTTGCATGGAGCCAAGTAACTACAATCAACTAAGCTCCATGGAAAAACGAAAGCATCCCTACACCACTTGCTTTGGGACTAGGTGTACAGTTGATTACAGTTACTGGGCTCCTTTTTGATGCACTATCAAAATCAATGAGCCAGTTGCCAAATTTTGCAAGAACCTGTGTTATGCATGAAATCAAATGTGAAAAAACAGGACAAATAAAGGTCATGGCATTGTAGTGGCATCAAAACATCATGTGGGATTCAACAAACATGAAAGTATTTTAGGGGTATATTTTCTTGTTTAATAACATGCTGTGCATATTTGATGAAGTAAGGGTATCATAATGGAGGTATGTATTGGGGTCTAAAAACTAACTCTGCGACGCGATTGTGCGACTCGCCGAATGTTGATTATTGCACTCTGCGTCAGGATCGCAGTGTCACTCTGCGAAGAGCACGAATCCCATTGGTTGATTGGTCGAAAAGCGCGAATCTCAATGGTCGATCCATTTAAGGGTACACAGCATGCCTTACAGAAATGTTCAGTTTTAAATGGTTATTTCGTCGACTGCTTGCGAACTACGGTAAACAAGTATTTACCGACGACATGCCGCACGGTTCGGTGATCAGCAAGTATTTAACATTGATTTATTAACATATATAACATCCCCCGGAGGGGATGAAAGGGGTTACAAAACACATGCACGTTGGTGTTGGCTGCATTATTAACGTGTAACATCAGGGAGCTGGTAAATTAACGTCATCTTGAAGTTGTAAGGCTTCGTCCGCAACTATGCTCATTAGCCCAGACAGCAGCTTTAAAGCGAGTAGAGTGCGAAGTACGTTTCACACGATGTTACGTTCTTTTTTTGTCATTAGCAAGTATAATTTGTTATGACTATATTCATCACTATATTCCCAAATAAAGTGTGTAGCAGGTCAAACTGTTTCTAGGCAATCAATATCGTTTTATTAAGAACATTAAAAGAGAAAAAACGTAAAGCTGTGTGAATGGATTGCAACTACTGCTGAAGATAGAAAACTAAAACGGCAGTGTCAATGGAAAATTAGATGGGTGCACGCTCTCTGCATAAACGGAAACGATGGCTTTGTTTATTTGGCCGATGTCGACAAGCAACAGATTTCCTGTACTGTTACTACAAGTAAAATGCGATAAATATTTCATGCCATATTCAGTTTACCTCTCAAAAATGGCTAGTTACTAGTTTTTTGGAAAACCATGTTGTTTATTCGCTGAAATCAATTCCAACAGATCGTACTTCGACATCGATAATTTACTTCCGCATTGCGTTATCGGAAAGTCTTCGGGAATTTCCAAAGAATTGCGTCAGTCAAAACACAACATTCTGATTAATTAATAACCAACTTGACCCATTAGGTCAAAGGACGCTGCTGTAGGTCAAATCTGCAAATGCATCATGGCGGAAAGTGATTTTCATCGAGAGTTTGTGTACGATCCAACAACTTCGTCAGTGGAAATAATATGACAATTTTGATTTTGACTGTGTTCCAACTGACTCAAATGTTTTTAATTCCGTAAATTATGGTGGTACGTAATTAATATTGTAATAAAATGTGCGTATTTTTTGTGATCATTTCTGTTTCTTCATTGTGAAAATCAATGACGACGCAACTAATTTAGTAATTTGATTTTCCCTCAAAGACGTAATCTGTCACTTGATGAATCAGAATTTTCATTTGCACTCTTTTTCGATGGGGGTGCTCGGGTAAGCGCCCACCCCTAAAAAATCGTGATTTTCTGAGTTGAGGCCCCTGGGCGCTAACACGGTCGAGTACGGTACTTATAATTACATTCATACCACAAACCAACGCCGTTTTTGTTTACTTTTCACAACTGTTACAAAGTATTTCATTTCTGGTGGTTAAAATACCAGCTAATCGATCGTAGACCACAAGTTTTGAGTCCGTTTATGATCTAAACGAAGGCAGACGATTGCAAACAACTGCTGTCATGGCAAAACGTTGCACATCGTGAATGATTTTTTTTCACTGCATGCAAATTATTTTCTTTGATGAACTCAACAAAGTCAAAGCAGACCACAGTTCCTCCACAAGGAGGAACTGTGAGCAGACGTACAACATTCGTTGCAGAATGCGTGAAAAGATATTCGCGTTCCACTCGCTTGAAGCTGCCGCCTATGCTAATGAGCATAGTCGTCGGGACAAAGCCTGACAACTCCAAGATGGCGATAACGTTACACCGTAAATTTATTTATTTTTATATATTTATTAACACTCAACATCCCCCCAGAGGGGATGAAAAGGGTTACAAATCAGATATTAGTAAAAGAAATAGGCAGTCAAAACCAGCATGCACGTTACACGATTTAACTTTTCTAACCAGCGGTGTGATGTGTCTAATCATCGTAAACCAAGTGTCATTTGTTTGGTCCCACAATTTGTCTTCCATGTGCTTGCTCATCACCGAACAGTGCGGCATGTCGCCGGTACATAGTGTTAACACACTTTTTTTACCGTAACATTTTTGACTCGCGTGTGCGAAGCACAAAAAGGGAGTCTTTGCAGTTAGTGTGTCTGTCTGTGTGTGTGTCTGTTCCACTGGTATCTCAAGAACCATACACTGATTTTTGATGAAACTTGGTGCATAGATGCTCTGGGCCAATGCACAGATTTGATTAGGTTTTGGTAAAAATCAATGCATATTAATTATCTAATTTGCATGATAATTAGCTGTTTTTTAGCTGTTCCATGATTGTTTCACTGATATCTAAAGAACCACTCATTGGATTTTGATGAAACTTGGCACATAGATGCTCTGAACTAATGCGCAGATTTGATTAGTTTTGGGTAAAAATCTGTGCAATATTAATAACCTAATTTGCATAATGATTAATCAATATTTGGCTTTCCAATGATATCTCAAGTACTAATCACATTTCAATAAAACTTGGTACATAGATATCATAAGACACTGCACAGACCTGATAGTTTGTAGGGTAATATCAATACATATTAATTACCTAATTTGCATAATTAATTAATTTTCAGCTTTTGATGTTTCAAGTAGTAAGCATTATATTTCAATGAAACCTGGTACATAGATACTCAAAGACTATGCAGAAACCTGATTAGTTTTGGGGTAATATTTGTGCATATTAATCACCTTATTAGCATAATTAGTTAATTTTCAGCTTTTCGCCTGATAACTCAAGTACTGATCATCATATTTCAATGAGACTTGCTACATAGATCCTCTAGGACTATGCAGAGACCTGATTAGTTTTAGGGTAAATAATTGTGGATATTAATTACCTAATTCGCATAATTAGTTATTTTTTTCCATGAATGTTCCACTGATATATATAAAGAACCACTAATTGGATTTTATTAAAACTTTTATAGAGTATTCATCATCACATTTCAATGAACCTAGGACTATGCACAATCTGATTAAAAAAAAAAAAGCCCAAACTAGGATCTTATTTTAATCAGATTGGGACTATGCAGAGACCCAATTAGATTTTGGTAAATATTTATACTTATTAATCACCTAATTAAAATAATTAATTAACACTGATATCTCAATTACTGATTATCACATTTGAATAAAATTTGGTACATAAATGCTCTAGAACAATAGACAGGCCCGATTAATTTTGGTTGAAATTTGTTCATATTAATTCTCTAATAATAATTCATAGTTTTTTTGTTCTAATCACATTTCAATGAAACTTGGTACATAGATATTACATTACACAGGCCTTATTAGTTTTACACTCAAATCTGTTCATATCAGTTACCTGATTTACATAATTAGTTTTCAGCTATTCATCAATATTTCAAGTACAAATAATTTTTAATTAATTTTTAATGCGTCTTCAATACTCTCAGCACACAGGAGTTCTTTCTAAGCTTTCTTTGATTACCATTTAAAATTTAATTTTTTATAAGGCATGCGGTAAACATCGACCATTGGGATTCACGCTGTTAGACCAACCAACAAATAGAAATAGTGCTCTTTGCAGGGTGACACTGCGATCCTGCCGCAGAGTGCAATAATCGACATTCAGCGAGTCACACAATCGCGTTGCAGAGTTAGTTTCTAGACCCCCATACATACATGCTTAATGCCAACAACTGTCGAGTATATTCTGATAGTTGATTGTTTTGATAAACACAGGTTACACAGTGCAGATTATACTTTGAAAATTACATGACTGATCATGCACCATGCATTGAAACAATATGTTGTATAATAATAACAATAACTTTATTGCCTCTGTGCAAAGAGATTTACATTGGATAATTAAGTACAGCAAAAAAAAGTTTTAAAACAAGATATATGTATAAATATTACAAAAAAAAGAAGAAAAAAAGAACGTAACTAGTATTTAAATGTTAAATACATTTTTGTGTCGTGTAAATATTGTTGGCAAGTTCTATAATTATGCCAGAATCTTTGCTTGAGAGTATATATGTGAACTGAATATATGAAAGGTTTTGATAAAATGTTAAAAAGTTTTTACTGTTCTTTCAGCAGCTCAAATCTGTCCATTAATTAACTTCTATATGTAGCAGTGTCTCATCCAGGATCTTCGCTATGAAATTCTGTATTCAGAATCTTCCCTCCCATGATTTTAGTTGACAGCAGGATTCACATTTGGGGCCTGCTTCTAAACATGGTATACTGTGTGTTTTACCATGGCTTGCATAATTCAAAACATGCTCTTGACGAATTAGAACAATGTGTTGGAGCAATTGAAATGCTGGTATATTATGATGGTTAATTTACACTACAAGTATTATTCCACAAAATGCGAATTATGCATTACAATGTATCCATTTTGTCAAATGTGACTCACAATCAAAACAAGAAGCTTAGACATGATTTGTCTCCTCTTCCTGATAAATGGGGTGTGTAAACAATGCGGGTTTCGTCTATCAGGGGTTGTTATGGGTGGATGGTTCGTCAGGTTGAATATACGGGAAGTGGTTGTAACGGGGAATGGGTAACTCGCAAGGCAGTGAGTGGTACACTAGGATCGCTGGACACTTATACGCACCATTCAGTCATAATGACACCAGTAATATAGTATAGCCGGATATTTATTACAACTACAATCGTCACCATACACCCCCGGTCCTCTTCTCACTTAATACGCTAGAACCCCCCATTTTTATAAACGACAGTGTTAATCGTTCAACCAATAGTCTAAATACTTTGCATGCGTTGTCATGACGGCATGTGGACTCCACCAGTGAGGGCGTCGCCCCATAGCATCGTCATGACAACATCAATGCAACTTGGTGACAGGTGCTAAGATCAAAATATATTTAATTAATATTACAAACTGGTAACTTAACCTATCTGTACTTTTTGTTGTATCTCTATTACAATATATATCAAGTTTTACTTTAAGTCAACTATATTTTTTATAAGTACTCAATTGTGTTGAGTTACCATATACATACACTGATGTTTATTAAATAATAAATATATTGTTTGTATTTGTAGCATACCTTTGTGTATTTTGATGTTACTATTGGTGAGGAACCAGCTGGAAGACTACTTTTTGAGGTATGATTGTTTTGAACAAAACTCTTCAGTTTTTAGGGTGAACTCCATAGCCAGCTAACAGGTTTATGCTTGTGCACAAGCTGTAAAACAATCTAAATAATATTAATAATAATGATAATTTATGAATTAGCAATGTCTAATTTTTGCTATCATTGTCAGTTGAAATTCAAAATGGAGGAAAGTTGATTCTTTACACTCCTGAAATGACCAGACTCATAAATTAAATGTGTTCTAGAAGACATAATTAAATTGACTCTACTCTCATTATGATGTAATAATTAAACATGGTTTTGTGATATTTACATCACATTTTCATTATTTGCATGTGTGGTCTTAGGTTCTGTATGAAATATAACATTGTTACAAAGTGTTTTAAGGTAGCGAGACTATTATTTGTGTTGAAAATTACGATTTTCACATTTATTTATTAAAATATTATATTATTGATAAAATGCACTATAAACTTTCATCTGATAAAGTCAACGCAACCTAGAATGTCATGTAAGTTGGTTAAAATGTAGATTTTCTGAAGGGAAGCAAGGCAGCTTCAGTAGTATTTTCCAAAATCAACAACACAGGTTTAATCTGTGTCTATAAGTTTCAAAGATTAACTCAAGACAAAGCAATGTTAGGATGTGTTATCAGTAGCTATCTGACACACAATGAGTGTTTCCAAACATTTGAGTGGTTTGTCTCCGCCTCCGTTTATTTCACAGATTAGTCATTTGCATATGAATGTGTCAGACACAAGGTGTCAGACCTTGATGTGAAAACAAATCGCTTGTGCTGATAAACAAGCTTGAAAATCTTTGCTGTGACTTCATCAACGATGTTTTTAAAAAAAAAATGGTCATTAGCAAAAAATAACGTATACTTATTGTCGTCGGATTAACACCAAATTTTCACAGCGTAAGGTTATAATGAGAGGAACCTGAATGTGTCCAGACAAACTATTTCATGGATTATTTACCAATGTGTTGTGGTTTGAGTTGGGGGCAATGCGACTAAAACAGAAATTGAAATTTAGGACACTACTTTTCAAAACGCGTTGCTTGAATAAAACTGATCAGACACATTCAATTTACCAGACTATTGAACAACTAGGAAAAGTGAAAAAAAAACTTATTATCACCAGCATAAATAAGTAATTATTTTTTTTACAAAAAATGTAATTTTTCACTTTTGATTTAGTAACTCATCGTAGAATGCAGATACGGGCATGGCAAACACACCTTTGAAAAGCTTGAAATCTGGGATTCCAAAAATATATACTTTCCTGGGTCTATTTGTAGTCGTTTGGTCACAATTAGAAGATGAAAACAAGTATGCAAATAATAGTCCAGCTACCTTAATGTATCAGCTATTATGTGATGTATTTTGTTACAGCTTTTTACAGACAAATGTCCCAAGACTTGTGAGAACTTCCGCGCACTGTGTACTGGTGAGAAAGGCAAATCTGAAGAATCATTGGTTGACTTGCATTATCAAAATTGCATGTTTCACAGAATAGTACCCAATGGATGGATACAAGGAGGAGGTATGATGTGTAACACACAGATCACATAGTGTAATACTGTTAACTGCTTTGTGAACATACTACCCGCTACATGTACTAAGGTCCAGTACGTGGGATGTGTTTGTGTTTTTTATAAAATTGTGGCCATAACAAATCAGTAACTTGCAGAAATTCAAACTGGTTTAACTGGATCAGTCTTGATCAGTTCAAAAAATCATGCTGGTCTTCAGATTTGAGTTGGGTTTCATCGAAAACTCTCCTTACCTACCCCTAACAAATAGAGAGGGTGAGGGACTCTGTTATTGTGTAAAGCAAAACTGACTACCGGGATAAATACAATTTTTACAGATATTGAAGCTGGAAGAGGAACAGGAGGCGACTCTATTTACGGACCAGTGTTTGAAGGTAAGAATACCTCCTTAATTTGTAGCAATCAGATAGACTCATCAAAATAAGTCAACACATTTGGAAATGTTGTTCAAATACTGGTACATTCAAAGGTGTGCTGGTCATATTTCATATCATGTTTTCCTTAGCTTATTTACTTCAATGGAAGCACATTATTAATAAAGTTACATGTACTATATTTCCTGAACCCCAAAAATGTATTTCTAGTAGAACAAATTGGTATATTTCTAACATCCTATCAGGTAAGGTCTTGTATGAATGTCCAATAATTCCTTGTCACAGGAACAACAAACTGGGACATCATATTATAAATAATTTCTCTTCCTGCCAAAATAACAGACATAACCAAAAACAATATGCTGGTTTATTTTGTAAAAAGGAATAACAGTTTTGGTGCTGAATGGGTTAACCTACATGATGGCAACATGTGAGTGATCACAAGTCAATAAACCATACATGCAATGCTGTCTGCCATTTAGTGAATACATTTTAAATACTGTGGAATACTTTATTTTCGCTGGAATTAATTTTCGCTGAAAAGGCTTTTTGGGCGTTTTGTATGGAATTTATTTTCACTGATTTTGGATGAGTATTATGTGAAATATAGGAAAAAAAGTATATTCGCTAGCTTTTATTTTCACGGAATCATCCAGCGAAAATAGCGAAAATAAATTCCAAGCGAAAATAAAGTATTTTACAGTAACTAAAGTACTGTATATTTCTATTTTCTACCCAGATGAAAATTACTCAGTTGCACATAATAAGAGAGGCATTCTTGGTATGGCTAACAAAGGACGACACACTAACGGTTCTCAATTCTATATAACATTCAAACCAACCAAATGGATGGATACTAAATATGTAGCATTTGGGTGAGTAAAATAAGCTATGTGTATCTTTGAATATCTACTTAAAAATGTAATACTAGAAATGAAATGAGCATAAACCCAAACTGTATTGTGCAACACGGTGCTGAACACTGAATACGTATTATGGTGACAGTGAATGTGCCACTATTTTTTACAAGCATATTACTGTTTTATTTTCAAAAATTTATTTGTCACTATTATGCATAAATAAAATCAGAAGGAATAATTTATTAGCTCCAATGTTGACAAAGTTGACACAGCGTAGCTGTTCATATTACTGATTGTCCGTTGTCGTCAACTTTGCAATTTCAACTTCTTCTTCGAAACCGCAAGTCAGAATGTTTTCAAATTTGATATACAAGTACCTTCGATGGTTCTTTCTCAGAATTGTTCATTTCATGTCAAAATCTCAAATAATTTAGTTTTGACATTTTTTTTAAAAAGTGATATTTTTGACTTCTTGTCAAAAACCACAAGTCCAATTGCTTTGATATTACATATATAGGTACTACATGTGGACCTTTCTCAGATTTGTTCATTTCGTGATGATACCTTTAATTCTCTAATTTTGATGAATATTTTTGTCATTTTTGGTAAAAAGAGATATTTTCCGACTTCTTGTTGAAAACCACAAGTTCAATTGTTTTGATATTATACATATAGGTACTACACATGGACCTCTCTCAGATTTGTTCATTTTGTGATGATATCGTTAATTCTTTAATTTAATTCTCTTGTTGAAAACAGCAAGTCTGATTGCTTTGATACCATACATATTGTTCATTTTCTAACGATTTCTTCAGTTCTTTAATTGAAATGTGCATTGCTAACAGCGGAGCTATCTCAGCCGACAGGCTGCTTGTTTTTACTTTTTGACTCCCGTGTGCGAAGCACAAAAAGGGAGTCTTTGCAGTTAGTGCGTCTGTCTGTGTGTCTATTCCATCAATATCTCAAGAACCAATGTTCGAATTTCAATGAAACTTGGTATATAGCTTGTCTGGGGCAATGCGCAGATTTGAGTAGTTTTTGGTTGACATCCATGCATATTAATGAGCTCATCTGCATAATAATGTGTGAATTTTAAGCTATTTCAGTTATATCTCAAGAAGCATTAAAACGATTTTTATGTAACTTGGTAAGAATGTTACTAATAATTCGCTGCTGCAATTCATTGTTGTATTTTACATTTTAATTAAAATTTAGCATTTTTTATGTATTTTTTTATTATTTTTTTTTTTTAATTTTTTCTGCCCAATTGCATGAATACAACTAATAGGAATCGGTGAGTGGACTAATTTGCATAATGATGCGCATGCATATTCTGTTTTTTATGACCAGCAATTTATGATGATGTCAGCCATTTTGTTATTTCCAGTGTGTTGTACAAAAACGAAGCAAGCGCTCGGGAGATGAAATGTATCAGTTGATATTATGAAAAGGTCTAAGAAATCCATGTATGATTTTTTATTATCGTATAAGTAAATAAATAAATAAGTAATTGAACAAATGTATAACCTCATTGACTGTGAAACGAATTACTGTGCAAGCTAGTTTACATTCACGTGTGGTGTACAATTACATTCAAGCCACGGAACATTGAACCCTGTGTGAGCCCAGTCAAGAAAATAATGAATGTGAGATTCATCATCGCCAAAACCATGGCAGTGTTGAAGATATGAAGGTGGTTGGTAGGTTCGATTTCATGGTAAAATGTTGTGTAAATTCGTTGTACTTGTGAATCCTGATTTATCACCGTATTATTGAATGCGAGAACAAATATTGTGACCTCCAGCATCAATGTAGTTGTAGGAGATATTTGTATCGCTGACCAACATTGTATTGTACTTCTTTCCTTTATTTTCCTTTACACATTTGGAAACTTGCATGGTACACTTTCACTCCCACCTTCCCCAAATTACGAAGCTATCAAGTCGATTAGTAGGTATAAGATGTCTATGTGTGTTGATGACTACTGCGTTGTGTAAGGGCTTCTCGTACGTAAAATGGGGCACATTCCCAGTAAAAATATATTTTTTACACAGAGCTGACAAAATTCGCCTACATGTGTAAATATATGTTGGGATTTGGAGAAAAAAAACTCGTAAAACATACCGAATTTCCCGTGACAGCAGTGATCCATTTTGGTGCCGATTGTTGGTGGGCTGATCAGCATGTCGGATTATTTCTGAGAACGTTCTTTGTGTGGGAAATCACAAAATCATTAGCACTAAGTAAGCAGCTTTATTTTATTTTTGTGTCAGAGTACCCTGTACAAATGAAATGAATCAACATGTGATGATTACCAAAACAATTTGACAATCGGTGTCTCATTTGTTCACCGCCCCCTCAACACTGTGATTTGTTATGAGGGGTATTTTTTCCCGGCCCTTTTCGTCGAAAATTACGAATTCATTGGCTCTAATATATCCTAGTTTACTTTAGTTGTTTCATCCGAGTATTCTGTACATTGATTTTACCTAGCAAAGGAAACAATCGGTGCCTGGCTTTGTTATATTTACACTATTGCCACCACTTTATGTGGGCCCCCAGCGTGGGCCTTGTGTTTCACTATTTTTTTCATTAAGTCCGAAAACGGGGACTTATAATTCGGTCTCCGTCCGTCCGTGCGCCTGTGTGTCTGTGCGTCCGTGCGTCTGTCCGGAGTCATATCTCAGAGTCCCTTGGACCGATTCCGTTCATTCTTTGCATGTGCCTAGTACTTTATGTGGGACATATGCACATGCAGTGGTTTAGCGATTCGATTCAAAATGGCCGACTGGCAGCCATCTTGTTTTTTGAAAATGTTGTATTTTGGACATGCTTTGTCAGTTTTCATTCAAACTTGGTACATAGATTATATGTTAGGATACATGTCCATGATGATTTATTTCACAATTAGATCAAAGATGGTCAACTGGCAGGCATCTTGTTTTTTTTTTTATGCGGTATCTTGAACGTGCTCTGTCAGTTTTCATTCAAATTTGGCACATACATGTACTTTATACATGTTAGGATGCATATCCATGACAATTTGTTTCAAAATCTGGTCAAGGATGGCCGATTGACAGCCATCTGACTTTTTGGCCTTACTACTATATTTCCACAATTTATGTACCATTTTCATTCGTATTTGGCACATACATCATACATATCAGTGTGTTTCATAATCAGATCAAAGAATAACGGCTGTTTTTATTTTTGGCCATATTACTGCTACACGGAACACGTGTTTTGATGTGAATAAACAATCTGTTGTATACGTCACTTGGAACTCAAGTTTCAAGGACACGCTCGCGACAACCCCTCTGCTTTAATATGACGAGCACAAAGAGAACTTAATTTAACGGGGACTGTGTCATTTTCAATGACTTGTTGCTTGACGTGTTCATTTGTCATCAATTGCGTTTCAGTAGCTGTCACAGTCATATTCTGAGTCTTGCCGATAACAGTTTGGTTCAAATTGACGTAGATATCGTCGAGAAAACTCAAATTCACAACTAGAGCTAATTTGCATAACTATGTTTTTGTCCTTGGTCGTCATAGTGGACACCGCATACAACTAGGGAAATTCACTAGCATTAAATTGCGCTTGCTGTGATAGGCAAAAATGTATTTACACTAAAGTACGTTCAAGATCTGCGAGGTATGTGTGAGGCTCGAAATCAGTACTCTGCAAATTTCCAAAGGGGTAGCGGACATATTGATATGCAAATGAATAATCTTTGAAACAAACAGTGTCAGAGAAATAGCGCCCAATAACACAGGCTTTCAACGGTTAATTCTAAGGTCACGAAACCATGAAAACAAACATTATATTTGGGAGTAGCTGAATTAGGCATGGGGTTCTCCGAGCCTGCCTATTCACATAGTTCATACTCACCATAGACTCCGGTCAGTCAAAATGACTATTTTGAACTGTAGGCATTAATCAGCGATTCTGCCGGTGACGGAGAGATAGAATCTAGGTCAGGGGAAGCCCCATGTCCCCAATATTCTCTTTCCCTTACGTCACGAACCCACATGACCGAGGCCACATGGCAGCGCCATAGACGGCCGTACAATCACTCTGGTTCCTTTCTCTCTGCCTCAAGGACTTAGACCAATGCTACGGAAAGAGTGGGGTGGTTGGGGGGGGGGCTATGGTGGTTATGAACTATGTGAATAGGCGGGTTTGGAGAACCCTCTGCCTAAATTCACTACGTTCAATTCACATAGTTCATACTCACCATAGACTCCGGTCAGTCAAAATGACTATTTTGAACTGTAGGCAGAGTCAGACGCCGATAGGTGGCGGGTTTTCTGAGCGAACAGTGAAAATGATGAAAGTCTTTTCCCAGTCCGGGATGAAAACGAACTATAATCAACTCCATACCTTAACTCCATGCCTGTGCTGTCCTCGAAGCAAAAAGCCAAAGTGCTGCTGTGGTGACAGGGTTCGGTGTGCCCTGAGAAAGCTAGACTCCAACTCGATTTCGGGGGTAATAAGCTTGAAGTAAGGACCGAAACAGTTCTGCATGAGGGCGTAGGTCGAAAAAAGTGAAACTTGGGAGCTTCCAGGAAGTGCTAGTGGTACAGACAATCTGTCCGCAAGAATGCCGAGACTGACTTATCGCCTATGTGCAGGGGCCTCTGTGGTCGTTCGGGCTGAGTCGGTAATCAAAGCCTGACCCGCTACGACGGGGCCTAACCTGAAGAGACCCTGCTCAATAGATTGGGTGTCTCTTAGGTAGTAGTTAGTGTATGCTCGCCATTTTGAGTTGTAGGCCGCGTTGGTGGAATCCCTGTTCACCCTGGCCAGGACATTGGCAGCCCGCTTAGATAGACCTTTCGTCTGCACGAGTTAACTGAGAGCCTCAATGCGTGTAAGTGGTACACTGCTGGGCCTGTTGGTAGTGCGCCGTCTGGTTGGGACAGCAAGTCCGGTAAGTCCAGAAGCACTACTGGTGTTTCGACTATCATTTCCAGCAGGAGCGGGAACCAGGCCTTGGTCGGCCAATTGGGCA